GAGTGCAACGCGTTGAGAGTCTGCATATGACGTCACTCTGCGTTAGGATGTGCTCCATGCACGCGGCGGTAGCTCACAAGTCAGCAATCTGAATGCTCCGCGAACGGCGTTTTCCCACTTCGATCGTCTCCGCTCTTCGAGCATACGGTACATCTCGCCCTGGACGTGCGTGGAGTGGTGCAGTCGTGAGTGCACGTGCTGGCTGATGAGCGGGCAGGTTGTGTACCATGCCATGCAGACGGCGCTGTAGGATGCCTCCTTTGACTGTGACTCCTGACTGATGCAACTTGGACCCAACTGTAGCTTGCAACTCCGCCAACAATCACGATTTCCTCTACCTTGCCTATACTCAGTAAATCTCAAATGCCTTTCTATTAGGGGCACGACGGTTAGCATTCTGATGGCCATGCTCGTGCACGGACATCCGCGCTACCAACAAACAGCACGCTTCGAATCAGAATCGGCGAATTCGGAAGCGGCTTTCGCTGCCGCTGCTCTTGACTACTACTATGATGCACGGCCATCGTTCAAGTTGTAGGCTGGGCTGGCTTTGGGTATCAATTGCTGCTGCAGCTATCGACTTCATCGACTACTGTGACTCACGAATTGCACCTTAGTCACGAGGCGCGCCTGCTCACTCTTTCCAACCACGCGTCATGTCTCGATGTCTCGATGGCCGGAAGGGTCCGAGGCGCATGCCGACCTCCCGAGATAGCCGAGCTTCAGAGATGTATTTGTGGCCCGGCAGCAGTTCTCACAGCTACAAGCCTGCATTCACATTGAACTACTTACTCCTTCTGTATCAATCCCCGCTGACCGGTGAATTTCGATGTACCACCCACGTTTGGCAACGCGGTCGAAAGTGGGCGACTGCTTCTGCAGGGGCGAGGGAATGGAACGGAGGGTGAAGAACCTGCAGAGAGTTATGTCGTACTCTGACTGTATGTGCTCCGCTGCTGCTGCAACGCAGAGCGCTGTTTCGTTCTCCGCTCCCGTCTTGTCGTCGGGCTGTGGTGCGAGTCGCGCAGTCAAGGTGTAACGCTGCAGGCTAACTCGATTCAGATGAAGCACCTCGCGAGACGGTGCAAGGTGCTTTTGGATGGATGGTCCTTGTTGCATGCGCCACTGCACAGACTTCACCCCTCCCATTCGACTACTTCACGTCGAAATCAGTGACTCGCAACTGTCCCTTGTCCTTTATCATCATCATCATCATCATTATCATCATCATCATCATCATCATCATCATCATCATCATCATCATCATCATCATCATCATCATCAGCACCCCCCGACTCGCAGCGCTCGCTTGCCTTGTTCAAAGACGAAAGTCTGAATTTTGCTTCCATTGACCATTCGATCGATCGTGATCCGGACTCACGATTCGCGATTACCGATTCAAAATATACTTTCCATCCGTATTCGCATCAATTCTCTCTCCTGCTGCCGCGACGACCGACCACTGGCCGGCGTGGCGTTCCCGGGCGCGACACGCTACGACGGAGAAATCGCGCCGTCAGGCGTCTTGAACGCGCATACACACCGGCGGCTGTCGGCATTCACTGTGACTCTTCTGATTGCACATTACATGTTGCAGGTTGACATTCCAACCTTCCACCCTCAAATCGCACCCACGCAGCCGCCTCGAGGTGGCGCAGAAGCAGTAGGCTGAGGATTTTGTGGCCGCGCTTTCTTCTCTCTTGCCTACCATTCATCCCGTTCTCCTGCTCTTCCACACCTGTGGCTTCTTCGCGTCCGCCACGTTGCTTTGCGTCCACAGGCTTTTGCGCAGCAGGCGTCAAGTACGGCTCTGATCTTCACCCAAATGCCGAAGAAGTGCTGGTGACAAGCAACACCACCTCAGTCGTCGGTTCGCGCATCGTTATGCCCGCGAAACACAACAACCCGATTCGCATCCGGCGACACAGATCGCCATTTCAGCGAATCGAACATGCTCAGGATGATGGGTCCACAGCAGCAAGGAGCGAGGTGCCCAACACAGTCAGTAGCGGTAGTTCCGGCATCCTGGTGAACGATCCGGATGCTGCTGGCTCGGGTCGACAATCGCCACTTGCGCGTGACTTAGAGAGACAGCAGGTCCGTCTATCCTTACCGCCGCGAAATTCCAGTAGAGCCAAGAGACCACGTATTGTGCAGAGACCCAGCGTGGTCGAGAGTCTGGCCAGTCAAGAGCGCTCAGCTGCCTCGACCGGTCGTCAAGGTGATGACCAGCAGACGCAAGAAGATGACGATGCTGGAACGAGCGAGGCGGGAAATTCTCAATCTATGTCGCGTGCACCTGCACCTTCTCAAGTAGCCGCCGCTGAAAGTCGACTGCCACAAGTGACGGAAGAGTCAACTTCGCCGCATGGCTCTTCTCCACACTCCACGCCCAACCAAGCTGGACTCGCTTGCACCCCCTCAGCCCAGCTTACGTCTGGTCGCAGTGATAGCAGCACCTACTTCAAGTCGGGCAGCGGCGCCAGGAGAGCATCGGCCGACGCTGGCGGCTCAAAGCCTGCGTCACAGCGCTTGCTGGGCTTTTCTAAACTGCGCAATGCCCAGTCTAACCCTGTAAGTGCGATCAAAGCACCAGAAGAACGCGTCGTCAATTTCACGTCGCCCTGGGGCAATCAACAAGCTTCGTACGAGCGCGAGGCCGAGGAGGAGGACTATGATCATCACGACGAAGACATTGCTAACTATGTGAGTTGCGACGCGTGGTCATGTCATGTGTTCTGGTATGTGCGCTGAGCTGCAGCGACCACCTCCGCTCGTAGCTCGATGTCGTCGATCCAGAAGTGAGCACGCTGGGCTATCTGAGCAATATTCAGAATTCGATTTTCGTACCGCACATCCCTTCCCTCTATTCTCGACGATCCACACACGACTTGCCAGATCTGCGAGCTGGCTATCGTCGTGGCTCTCGCGCAGGTCTTGCGGCCGAAGCGCAGAGCATCGATTCACGGACAAGGGCAGGATCACTGCGATCGCGCCTCTCTGGCGATTCGCGGCGAGGTTCGCTGGCCGCTTCGCAGACGGGACTTTCTGGCGGTGCACAACCTTTTGCTACATCGTCAGATGGTGTCAGAAGGCCGAGTCTGGTGTCTCGTTTGTCAGGCGGAGGACTCATGAGTCGGATGGGTAGCAAAGTCAGTTTCCGAACGCCCATCTCTAAAGAGGCACAAGTGCGCAAAGAAGCCGAAGATGAAGCGGAAGCTCAGGGTCATATTCGAGGATGGGCAGCTATGGACGAGGAGGAAAGGAGCGCTTTGGACGAGCATGTGCGAGATCTTTTGACCAGGCGCGCAAAGTTTCGGAGAGGCTTGAGAGGCTTTTGGGCTTTTGTCAAGACTCCCATCGGCTTCATTATGACGCTATACGGCTTCCTCGTCACGTTCTGGGGATGCGCTATCGTGCTGTTCATCCTCGGATGGATCAATGCTGGTTCAAGAAGACGCTACTGGATCGAAATTTGCGACCAGATCCTTTGCGCCTTGTTCGCGGCGGTAGGACTTGGCTTTGCGCCCTTCAGAGCCGTCGATACGTATCGCATGATCCACATCGCGCACTATCACCATCTTACGTGGAGGAGACGTCGAGAAATGTTCTTGCCACAACTAGTCGATCCCAACGATCTCCCTAGACCCGCACAGGACGGTCGCAACTTGGCCATCATCCCAGAGGATTTGCCCTCTCCAAGAACTTCACGGGAGGATTTGGCCAACAAGGTCGCCGAAGCTAATGTTCAACGAAGAGAAAAGCGTGGCTGGATCGCGAGACTCTTCAGTAGGCGTGCGCGGCGACAGACGGATGATGCGGAGCGTCAAGCCCAGGCTACCGAACCCAAAGGTGTGGTTGTAGCGACTGTTCCGCCCGCACTTTTGGATCCGAACACCCTGCCGGGTGCGAAGGCGCAAGGAGGAAGCCCGTCTCGTGATGGCAGCTCGACAGCGACTGCTACGCCTCGCAACGACTTCAAAGGGGATTTGGAGGCGAACCAGAAGAGACCTGCCGTCAAGCGCAATCAGAGCTTGCAGAGCGAGTTGGTCAAGGATGTGCAAGATGTTGTGGTGCTCACCCCCGAAGAGCAGAAGATCCTGGAACATCACCAGCGCGCTTTCCACGCGAGCCATACTTTCTATCGTTTCCACGAGACATCTACCCACGTGAGTCTAGCAGTGCTCTACCGGTCTTGTGGTGCCAATTGACAGCTCGCTGATGACTCACGATCCGCATCGCTGTCTTGATAGCGAGCGTTCCCGCTTGACTTGATGATCGTCATTGTCTGCTTGCTGGACTGCCATTCGATGCTGCAAGCCGCTTTGGGAGGCGTCACTTGGGGCATCAAGTATACCCACAGACCCACAGTCTTGACAGCGACGATCATCAGTTGCAGTCTCTCGTGCAATGCAGTTGCCGGCATCATCATTTGGCTTGGTGGACGTCGAACGAAGAAGAAGGAGGAGGTGGAGCGCAGGCTGCGCATTGCATTAGAGAAGGAAGCCTATTCCATCATGACGTCCAAAGGAGCTGACGGTGCAGAAGAAGCTGCCAAAGACATAGCTGCAGCCCACTCTTCATCTGGCGATGCTCGTCTTGCTGCACCAGCAAAGAAGCACAAGCACGAGCACGATCTGGAGGAAGAGTTAGATAGCTTCGAGATGAGGGCTACGGGTTCTAGCTCATCTGCTTTACTCGACCACGATCACCAGGGGCCTCCAAGATCTCCGACGCGGAACAAACAGCTCCCTTCCACCTCCCTCTCCTCTCGCGATTAAGCACCCGAGTGGACTCAAAGCAACCGACTCAAGTCGACACCCGAACCTACAGCCGGCAAGGCCAGTCGACCCTTGATAATGACCGGAATATCTTTACCACAGGCATTCCTGCGACATGCAGCGCTGAATAGCTGCCCTTTTGATTTGATGCCCCCTTCCTCCTACCTTGTCTCATTTTTTTTGCATGCACTCCCTCTCCCTGTACAACACGCTCTTGCACCATCTTGTTTCGTCGCAAACACGCTCTTGCCCCACTTTCTTGGTCCAAAACGCCTGCGATCGGCAAGTATCCTCACGACACCTTGCAAACACATCCGAACATCATGCACGCTAAGAAGATTGTATTGCCATGCAGGCCCGGTACTGAGCGATTGTTGAGCAGGCACTGAGTGGGCCTGATCTCATCCTTCGACGTTCGATGGACGCTAGGACGTCTTTAGCCACTCGGGCCATGCGACACGTGATTTGGATTCTACGCTTGTGCGAACCGTATCGATCGCCACGTGGTCATACCTCAGGCCATTACCAGACTCATCAGCCGTACGTGATAGGTTTGGTAGCCTGCCTGGCCTGACCACACACGGGCATCCATGCCACCTTGCGATGGATGCTCTTCGTGCGGAAAGGCTCATCAGCTGTTGAAGAATCTGAATCAAGACACGACCTTGAACTTGTTCGGAAGTCAAGTGCAAGCCGTGCGAAGCCCGACTCGGCTCCAAATTTGAATCACAATGTGAATGTGAATGCAGTCACAGTCTAGCCTTCGTCTCGTTATCTCTAATCAAAAGATCGAGCCTTTTGCGGCAACCGAAATCGTGGATACGTGCACGCGGTCTGCGATCGGAGTTTCAGCTGAGTGTGGTCACGAGTCCGTAAAGGAGTTGCGCGCATAGATTTAGCGGCTTGTGAGTGAGTGAGTGAGTGCTCGGCTGCACGGCTCAACTTCTTCAGCTATAGGGCGGATGATGGCGAGTCAACAAGTCAGGGTGAAGGAGCTCTTCGTATCGCACGGCGACACAATTTTGCCCAACGCCAAACGGACGGCCAGACCGGGTCGACTGCAAAGAGAAGCGGAGCAGAGCGGAACAAATGGATGAAGATGAGCGCTGGTGCGGGTGCGCGTGGTTGCGGTCAAGCGCAATCGTGAAAAAGTGCAACAGGTTCTTCTCGTTCATGCGCGAGCTGCAGATGGCTGTCGGAGCGAGAGCGGACGTCCGCACAAATGGTTTTGAAAGCGGCGTCGTTGATTGGTCTACACAAAAACTAGAGGGAAAGCATGAGGAGGCAGAGAAAGTTGCGCTAGGTCTGTTCGGAGCGGCGACGGTCACATTTAATAAAAGATGCCTCTTTTCTGTCACGCTCACTGCGACTGCTTGTCGAACTGTAGACAGAGCTAAGCCTGATGGCCAGGATGAAATCACGAATGTGAATGTGAATGTTGGGGACGATTCAAACGCCTATCGAGAGTCCCAATCGTGAATTGAGACTAGTGACTGCTGTGGTGTGGTGCAGCTTGTATCCTCGGCGCGGGTGCGTCGCCAGCCACAGCATGCACGCACGGCCAGCATGCAGCAGCAAGCAGGTCGAGTTGTCAAGGCCGCAGACGCGATTCACGATTCGTGCGGTCTGGTGCGTGGGTCCCGGGTGCCGGTGCCGATGGGAGAGGGACAGCAAACGGAGCGAGCCACAAGCACTGGGCCCCAATGCTTTCAGACGAGCGAGCGGCTATCGTGCGGCACACTGACGGCTGCCTGTGCTGCATGCATGCACGTATGCAGGCGGTGGACCAGACTCAACATCGTCGCGTGTTGATGCGCGCGCGCACACATCGCTTCGATTGGCCGGTCGTCCGAGCTGCGCTCGTGGGGAGGGAGGCACTTGGCCCGCAGCCCATCAATATGCACAGGTTCATGACGCATTTCACGCAGACAGGCAAATCAAAGCTCGCTCAGTTGTGAGTGTCGCGCCATGCACGAGCAGCGCAAGACTCGGGGTGTGCGCCCTTGGCAAAGTTTGCCGGGGCTCCGTCTTTGAGGATCGCCTATCTCTCGGAACCAGGCGAAGCATTGGACATGACATGTCAGAGATAAAACATCTGGCCACCTTGTTCCTGCCTCTCCACCACATCATTAGATTTTTGACCCCTCAGTCCTGCCTCTATACTTGACACATCAACCTCCCATACTTTGTCCAACATGGCTAGTGCTAACCCTTTCCAAAAGAACGCCAGTGAGTAGTTTGCTCTGCGTCAGAAGCGCCATCATGCGCTCCTCCTCCTCAGCAGTCACCTGGCAAGCTTCGATCTGCAGCACCGAGTGCTCCGCCGCATCACTAGGTAGACACTGCATGCTGACTGATTCTGAATCTTCGATTTGCAGACTTGTTGGCCCCGTACATGCAGCTGGACCAACGTGGTGAGTAGCCTATCTAGAGGTTTGAGCTCGAGCTGTCCGCTGATGAGCATCCTTGTTACTTCGCCCAGGCAAGGTCCAAGCTGAGTACATCTGGATCGATGGAATTGGTGAGCATCTGAAAGTCCTCGCGCTCTTCTGTGGGCTCGTGTGATACGCTACATAAGCTTCGGCTGGGGACGCTAGATAAGATAGGGTCGCCGAAGCCCACATTATGAACAACAGCTTGAAGGGCGCACCGACAAGGCTGGCTTGTGGGCGTGTCGCCTGCTTTGAGTCGCTTCAGAAGTTTGAATCGATGAGCTGATTCTGCAAATCTCAACTTTTACAGGCGAGATCCGCTCCAAGACCACAGTGAGATCACACGCGCAAATTAGCAGCCGTAAAGAGGATCTAACGCATTCTTGTCCTGTGCTGCGCAGACGCTCGACTCTAAGGTGAAGTCTCTTCAAGAACTAAAGGAGTGGAACTTTGACGGATCCTCCACCGGTGAGCACGAGGCGCAGCAGACGCAAGGGGCCCCCGGACCGGCCACGCTGATGATGGATAATTTACCCCTTCACCATATAGAGCAAGCCCCCGGTGGCAATTCTGATGTGTACCTGCGCCCCGCTGCGTACTACCCCGACCCTTTCCGCGGAGGCGACAACATCATTGTTCTTGCGGAGTGCTGGAACAACGATGGTACCCCCAACAAGACCAACCACCGCCACGCTGCCGCCAAGGCGATGGAGCAGGCCAAGGCTCACAAGCCATGGTTTGGCATGGAGCAGGAGTACTCTCTGTTCGATGTCGATGGCAAGCCCTACGGCTGGCCCAAGGGCGGTTTCCCTGGGCCCCAGGGACCTTACTACTGCGGTGTTGGTGCGTAGACTCGAGGCGTCAAATTGCAGTAGCAGGCCAAGGCCGACCCAAAATAGAGTCGCTGACGTGCGACGCATGCTTTGGCTCTTTCCTCATTCAGGTGCTGGCAAGGTCTACGCACGTGACCTGATCGAGGCCCACTACCGCGCTTGCCTTTACGCCAACATCAACATCTCTGGTATCAACGCTGAGGTGTCACCCTCTCAGTGGGAATTCCAGGTCGGACCCAGCGAGGGAATCAACATGGGCGACGAACTCACTGTCGCTCGTTACATTCTGGCTCGCGTTGCCGAAGAGTGGGGTGTGAAGGTCTCTTTCCACCCCAAGGCCGTTCCCGGAGACTGGAACGGAGCTGGATGCCACACCAACTTCTCCACTGAGGAGATGCGCAAGGAAGGCGGTATCAAGGCTATTGAAGCTGCCATTGAGAAGCTGGGCAAGCGCCACAAGGAGCACATTGCAGTGTACGGCGCGGACAACGACTTGCGTCTGACCGGCAAGCACGAGACAGGACACATCGGAGAGTTCTCCTCTGGCGTTGCCAACCGCGGAGCTTCCATCCGTATTCCTCGTCACGTTGCTGCTCAAGGCAAGGGCTACGTGAGTTTGTTCATCTTGAAGCTCAGCAGTTTGCCAAAGCGTGGTTGCTCACGGGTTCTCTTTACCCTTCTCAGCTCGAGGATCGTCGCCCTGCAAGCTCTGTCGACCCTTACCAGGTCACCGGTATCATCGTCGAGACTACTTTGCTCTGAGCGATTCTGGTTTACTGCGTCGATGCATGCGCTGCGGGAAAATGTTTTCTGCAAAAGGCACGCTGAGATCTCGAATTTTGTAGCGCGAGGGATGGGCCGCCAAAAGAGGCTGGTTGTTGCGAGACTGCCGAACTTAGCGATTGAATGTAATGAGCTCATCGAATTCAGGTCGCGATTTCTCGCAGACGGCTTCGCACGCTAACGGAGCTGGCGAGCATCTGAAGGGTAAATGACACAAAGATCCTTTGGCAAAACCGAGCTCTTCTCCTGGGTGATGCACGTCCTCTGACGAAGCTGGGCGTTCTTGAGGGGCCTCCCTTGGGGTCCCCGTTTTAGAAACACCCGTACGCCAGAAAATACCAGCGCTCTTTGAAGGGATGCGTCCGAGCAAGCGTAGCTCGGATCCCTTGACCGCGAAGCTAGTCCAAGTGGGGTCGGAGCACACAGCTCGAATTGAACGCCAGGCGTGCAGGAATTTTTGGCGTTCAACAGCCTCGCAACCCGGCTGCAATGAGCGGCATGAGCGAGCCCCTTATGACTGACACGTTATCCAATTGTCCGTGCTTACAATCAAAGCGCTTGAGCCCTCCGCCGTCGTTCGCGGTCCACTTGCACTCTCTTTTCATGTCAACCTGCCGCGTTAGCCAGACGATTGAAGAGTGAAGCGCTATACGCGCTGTAGATGCCTACCTCGACACGCTCCCACGCTCACGCTCGGACCGCTCTTTCGTGCGCTATCGCGAGAGTGATCAGAGCGATGTTCCTGATAGACGCTCGTGGAAGTGCGGACTTGCCCGAGGGGCAGGCAGTATGCACGCCTGAAGTTTCTCGAGCGACAAGCACGTCTCGACTACTTCGATCAGGGTCATGTTCAGAAGACCAGAGTCTGAGTGTAGCCACTATCAATTGCTTGATGAGTCGTGACTGCCGCTTGCAAACTAAACACGAATCAAGCCATTCTCACCAGTGTGAGTCTCCATCAACGCCCGTCTGTGTGTAAGTGAGGGGGAGCATGAGGAAGCCTATAGCTCAGCTCTGTCTGCACGGCACCTCGTTGCAAGAAGGCTCAAGTCTGTCGAGTACCGATGCACGCAGACGCTGCTCAAGAGCTTCTTTAACCTGCATGGCAGGAGCTTTCAGCCCTCGACTTTCATTCTGATTCTCTCTCAAAAATTGTGATCATCGATTGCTGCGCCTTGCGCTCGCGCGCCCCGTCCTAGCTGCATGTTGAGCAGGGAGCACAATGAGCAAGCAGCATGCGATCGAAGGCTGTGTGATCGAGTCAGCTGCTAGTTGCCAGCAGTATGCAGCCGAAGACGCGCGCGCAGCAGACAAATGCCCTGGAAGGACCCCGCGCCGATGTTCACGTCCATTTACGCGCTCGATCGAAGACGCGTCGTGCAGCATCCACGATTCACGATTCGATTCTCGATCGGAACTCGACCAGGCCGACGCGCGCCTGCACGCTTTTTGGCGCAATTATTACTCCTCGCGCTGTAGCGCCTTGATCGAGAGCCATTCAGATTGTCAAGCTCGATCTGTGCGGCGAAACAGCTTCATGCAGGTTCGAGGACCCTGCGGCGCATGAATGCTTGGAATCAGCAGCAGCTAGCAGCTTCCAGCCCATTCACCATTGCCAGCCTCTTGCCTTGCAGCCCTGCGATGCATGTGTCCAAAAGCAACACACAAGGCGGCCAGATGCGCAAAGCATGGCAGCGTGGGGTCGACTCGATTGGCGACCTTGCCGTTCGATAGTCGTCAGATGATGCACTCACGACTCTTCGATGACTTACCCAGCGGCCACTAAGCACCGGCGAAAGGCGAAGCGACCGTACGCTGGCCATCGACCCGACCAAGCTCCTATCCGCTCGCTAGCGTCGACACCATCAGACTCGCGACTCGCCTCACCTACCACCTGTCTGGTACAGTAACTGGACTTGGCCCCAAGCCATCGATCGCATCGTCAAGACGAACACACAGCTCAACAACTTACATGTCAACTGTCCAGTCACCGTAGTGTTGACGAGTAGCGAGATACTGCGCCTCATCCGTCTATCATCGGGCTCGTCAGCTCGACCTTGCTGCGCCTTCTGCCTGCGCCCGACGATCAGCCGGAAGGCTAGTTTGGCCCTACAACACCGAAGCCCGACCAGTACGCGCCAAGGGGCACGTTTTGACTATCGGAATACTTATTTGAGCCAGGACCCTGCCTCCTCCGCCTCACCCCACACAACGCCACTCAACAAACAGAGTATTACGCATCTACCATTCGTTTATTCGAAATCTCCTCTCCTCACCTCAAGACTCCTGGAACATCGCTTGACTCACCACCTTCGACCAACTCTGCTGGCATCCTCCACCGTCCTGAATTTCTCACACCACAGACAACATGGACAGCATGCCGAGCAGCAAGAGGCTGCGTCTAGATTCGTTTACCTACGCCCGGACTTCATCGTTTGACTTGGAGGTAAATCCGCCTCACGGCTCAGCAGTCACTTCATGCTCGCCATCAGAAGGCTCGGAAGCACACACCCCGCCCATCCAAGCAGCGAATCACCCCTTCGCATCCACTGGAGGATTTCCTCAAGCTCCAAAGGCGCCTTCACGCAAGGGGCGTCGCTGGATCAACGATAGCCGAGAAGTCAGCCCTCTTGCCTCTGGCTTCAGCCTCAACGATGTCCAAATGTCAGATTCTGTCACGGCTCCGCTATCTTTGTGCCCTTCGGCAAACAAACGAACACGCGCAATGCTGCGAAGAGGCTTGGATGAGGAAGAAGATGCGCCCCATGTGAATAACAGGCAATTGCGCATGGCTCAGAGGTTATCGAGCAGGCTTGCTGCCCTCAACGACCCTGCCATCTCTGGTCCAGCCTCAACCGGTAGTCATCCAGCCCTGGGCCTCAACGTATCGCCCATGCCTCTGGACGAGGGTTTTGCTCTGCAACCGTTTTTCGATGAAAGCCTCGCGCGTCGCTCCCCTTCGCATGAACCGGAAAAGGACCTCAACGATGACGCTGCCATGTCGGTCGACGAAGAGCCCAACAATCTCGCAACGTCATCTCGCGCTCCACCGACAAGTACGCCATCAGGCATCGCGATGGGTCGTTCCATATCCGCCAATGGACCTCCGAGGCTTGCAGGCTCGCCTGTCCACGGTCCGGTCACACAAATGTATGATGGCCTTCCTCTGCTGCGCATTGCAGCCTCGAGAACACCGCTCAGGACGAGGGCGCAACTGCGTGCCGCCGCGGCGACAGCATCAGCATCAGCATCAGCATCAGCATCAGCATCAGCATCAGCATCAGCATCAGCATCAGCATCAGCGTCCACCTCGTCTTGTCAACGTCCTTCAGAGCAAGGCCGGATAAGAGAAGCATCCATCGCTAGCCAACCTCTTCCCGACAGATGCCAATCTCCCGACCCGTTCACTTGCAGGCCGAGGAGCGCTTCTTCCAGCTCGTCTTGTACCAGTCCTAGACCGCAACATCGGCGTCAGCGTAGTCGAAACAGCCCCGCCAGCGCCAGATGCACCCCCTTTGGTGATTACTTTGGCGACTGGAGCGGGAACAGCAACAGTGCTGGTGGAGGTCCCATCTGCTGAGCATGTGCGAAACCTGGCAGCGCGAGCTCTCTTTTTCTGTTTAGCAGGAATTCGGCCCTGCTCATGCAAGTTTACATTGCGTTGATCTGGATAATAGAGCTACCCCTTTCATTCTCCTGCTCGTTCTACTGCACTTGTCCTCGATACGATCTGTGTACTGACTTTAGTAGTTGCACACGCATATTTGCACAAGATTTTTTGATGCGTGGCTATGCGTGTACCGCTGTGCTCGGATGGATGCCATTCTTTGTACATGGATGTGTTTCAAGTGTATGCCATACCAGGAAGAAAGGAGGCTGGTGTCGATGTGAATTGAGCGTCAGACACCTTGTTGGCGCTAGGCGCGAAGCTATGATGAGGGTGCTTTGGGATGACGAAAGCTCAATTCTGCTACGCACTACCACCAACAACGCCTCAGATGCCTCGGATGAATGCTCAGGAGAGCTTGCTCTTGACCTGCTGACCGGCCTGCTTGATCTCCTCTCCAACCTCTTTCACAGCTCCAGCCCCCTTCTGCTCAACATTTTTCAATTCCGACTGAGGCGCATCGCTCTCCTGCTTCAAGATCTGAGCCGCTCGATCCTTGGAGCCGGAAACCTTGCTCAAGGTGTTGGGTTGACCCGAGGCGCTCACTGCCGCTTTGCGCGTGTCTTTGGAAAGCAAAAAGAAACCGCCAATGCCTACGGCTAGCGTGGCGATGGAGAGACCTAGCATGCGCGTAGTGCCGGTGGAACGAGAACCTCCTTGCTCTGGCGGTGGGTGCTATAAAGGGAGGAAGGCGTGGAGCATTTGATCAGCATCTACACGTGTCAGCTTGCAACGCACAGTGTCGCTCCCCCTCGTATTCGTAGGCGCGCCTGCCTCCCACAATCGCCGGTGGCCCTCAATAGAACCGCCTACCTCCTTTGCTTCTCTGGGCCTCTTGGTCTCTGCGGGAACAGAGACAACAGAGCACATCCGCCCATCCATCTAGACCTGATCACTCACCGCACCGCCAACAGGACCCTGAGCATAGGTTCGTACAGCCATGCGCGTGCTGCTGAAGCTGGCGCAAGCGGATGAGCGGCCCAGAGCAGCGCTCGCGGTAGCTGCAGAAGCTCTGAATAAGGACATGTCTGCGACGTTGATGCCGGTGATATGATTATCTCTTTTGAAAAGGAAGTCTCTCAACGCTTGTGGTCGCCTTCGTGTATCTGACCAAGAGAGAAAAGGTGTTGCTGAACTTGGACGAGTTGTGGATGTGGAAAGAATGGTGGGATGAAAGAGTGTGGGGGAATTTATATGTGCGCCAAGCAGGTGTCTGTTGTAATCGTCAATTGAGCATGCAAGGTCAGCATTCTCCTTCATCCACGAGTACTCGTGACCACCCACCCACCACGCCGAATTGGGGAGGACCAAGCGGTACCAAAGCGGAGGTTTAGCAGGTACACTCGCGGGTCCACTCGTGACTTGAACTCGCTCACGAGAAGGGGGGTAAGCTTGCATGCGCGCTGACCGAATTCGACCAGCACACTCGTGACTCATCAGACTCGACCTGCAGCGCCCTGATCGTTCTCTCGCCATGAGATCTGCTCCCTCCACCAAGGCTAGGCTGGACATCCACTTTGAGACAGAGAGACGGAGACGGAGCAACCATTACCCTCTTTTGCTCTGCGCTGCACTCACGCCTGCGTTTACCCCTCGCATATGAGACCGTGCCATCGACGACGTCATCCAAGACCTCACCACACGTCTCGCTGCGGCTTGAGCAGTCCTCCAAAGCATCTACAGGAGCTTCAGCAGCTACATCAAGTTAACCATCCCCTCGCCATCAAGAGCCTGGGTACGATGCCCAGACTCACGAGTCACGGGTCCGAGTGAGCTCACAGCAGGCCCTTGGACCCTTAGTCAGCTGCGCATGTTCAAGCAACACGCAGAGGTCAAGGTACACTCGCCAACCGCATGCATGCAGCATGCGCCTCTCGATCGCTGACAAAGTCCAAAATCTGGACTGGCGCAACCGTGTGGAGGTGTCACGTGCCGCGTCCGATGGAAAAACACGAGGCACGTGCTCCAAGTTATTTCGTCCCGCTCGGCCAAGTTTGAGTCAAGAGGTTTGGTCCGGCTTCTTTTACCACCAAGCATCACCAGTGCGAATCCTTCGTTTCACTTGATCATTCACGCTCTATACGATGCGTCCCGGGACTTGTCAAAACTATCAGCAATCACCAATGCTTTCTTGTTAGGACCGATCTCGATCTCGATCTCGATCTCGATCTCTCTCGGCGAGGAATCGACTGCGCACTTGCGGCGACGAGCGGAGGGACGACCGGCAAAGGCAGCCTCAGTATGCTGAATCACCTCGCTCAATCGGGAGCTGGGAGGTCCATCTCGGCAATCCCCGTCATGTCATGTGCCTTGCGAACAATACCACGCCTGCCAGCCAGGGCTGGCCCCACAGGCGGACTTTGCAAGTGCGCACGCCCGACCGACTATACCAAATCAATCGCCAGCTCCGTTTCGAGTGATCCCTGGAGGAGAAGTTTTGCTAGCAACACTTCCCTCCTTCGTCCCAGGTTGGGATCATCCTCCAACTCGCACTCGATGGTCTTTGGAGCGTCCCTTTCATCCGCTGCATCGACACGAGGCTTTGGATGGAGTAGCTGGCGTAGCACTGCGCAAGTCCAGGAGACGGGTTCCGGCGCCAACTCTGCTGGTGAAGCTTCGAACCTTCGGGCATCTTCAGCGCCTTCGGACGGCGATACACTCACCGCAGCTCCAGCATTCGACTCTCCAAGCAACGTTCTGGGCGAGGGGTCGCTACAGACTGCCGCTGCAGATGCTGCCTCTTCCATCTCATCTCAAACAGTCTTTGGCACTTTGGGCGAATCGCTGGATCGCAGCTTACAGCCCGTAGTGGACTTGCTGTGCAATCTGCCCTCCATCCTGCACCTCGAATGGATCTCTCACCCATACGCAATATCCATTCTGGTCTTCACTTTTGCCCTTAGAACGACTTTCACGCTGCCCATGACGCTCTGGGCTAGATCTAGACAGCAAAGATTGGTGGACAAGGTCTTGCCGGAATGG